GACAACTAGGTTAGATCTGAAAGCGACAGATGTAAAATCTATCTTGAGAAATTGTGTGTATTTAGAGGATAGCATGGTTGGTGTTTGTGGTGTTAAAATATATGGCACACCTTGGTAAGTTAAACCCTAACCCGTTTTTAAAGTCTCCTCGACCCCGATGAGTTTATGAGACCTGGAAACCTTCTGGATTTCTACACTTACATTCTTGTCCTCTCAACCACCATGAGTTTAGCAGCCGTGGAAACTGCCGGGAACCATGTGTAGGCATTAGATCTGTAGTATTTTGGCATTTCAAAATATGAAAAGTTGCGCTTCAACAAATTTACTTGAGAAACTCTGTCTTATAATAATGGAGGTCAGTTTTGACTTGGACATAAAATTGGTATATTATTGAAAATGTAATGCAAGATAGATAACATTTCATAAGCTACAGCTTAAAACAGCTCAAAACAGATTTATAACTGATTCTTTCTCTGATAGGGTGGAAACTTATACCAAATGTGTTGCTTTTTCCGTGAATCGAGGAGAAGCGTTGTTAAAGAAATGGAATAGTATACCAGATAATGTTGATATTTTAATGACACATACTCCACCTTTAGGTTTGTATAAGTTTAACCTTTATTACAGTCATATCATTTACAGCTAGCTGGATGAATTAATTACAACTCAACATATCCAGCAGATTCCAAGACTTTAATCATCTGAGCTACCACCCCTCTCAAAACTACCTAATTAGAAACCTATAAATAGACCTTGACGTATGTACATAATTACACATGTGATTGTATAGCGCCATTGAATGCTCACGTTAGAGCAGCAATGAGCGCTATACTAAGTTCCATAATCTTAATCTTAATATGAGAATTGTTTTTGTTGTAGGTTATGGTGATAAGACCCATCGAGGTCATCATGTTGGTTGTGTTGATCTATTGAACACAATACAACGAAGAGTACAACCTCAATATCATATTTATGGTCACATACACGAAGGTTAGTCAGAAAATGGCATCCATATTTTTCTTCCCATATATGACAAATTACTTACCACAAATTAGTGATAAAATAATACAATTCATTGAAACACAGCTTTTTTGAATTTTTATCAAGATTTATACGGATCCTTGAAAACAGACTGGGCCTGAAATTAAAATTCCCTGAAAAATGAGAGGTTCATTCAAATACTTTAAAGAGACTCTGCATCATTCCAGTGTGAAAGTAAAATGTCGTTGGAATTAAGTCTTTTTAAACTTTTAAGAATTCCATTATTTTCAATTTATATTTTAGGATATGGTATTAGAAGTGATGGAACCACGACATTTATTAATTGTGCAGCGTGTACAAGACATTATAGACCCGATAATTTGCCAGTTGTATTTGATTATCCTATACCAAAAAGATACAGAAAATCAGATCAAAATTGGGTGAAAATAATCAAAGAAATAG